ATTGTTCGAATAGTGGTCATCAAGAGGGCGCGTCTTTGATAAGATGCGAGTTCCACGCAAGGATTCGCGTTCTTTGGATAAATACAATTTTGAAAGAGTAATGCAGAATGGAGCTCCCGTAGTGCAATGGTTAGCACGCGCTCCCGGAAAGGGTGAAATTTGGGTTCGAATCCCATCCGCCGTTCAAAGCCGCATCACTCAACATTATTGGATAAATAGTCCTAACGTCATATCACCTCTAAAAGCACTTAAACAAAAAGAAATCTGGATAGGAATGGAATGTAAATGAAGAATGAGGAGAATTGAATATATCGTACATAAAATCTATGCATGTATGAATTACAAGCTTTTGATTGTACTAAGTCTCCAATTAAGTTTCCAAACTTAATTCAAAATTCATTTTTCCAAGTAATCGAAAGTATCAAATAACATTGACTGAAGATTCCCCGTCTGCCTGAACGCAATTCTGCCAACGCTACAGCAGAAAATCGATTCCGGGCTCATAAAACTCTTTACTCTTCGATGCAAACCAACCAGTCAATTCTCGACGCAAGTGATGTATCTCAAAATTTCTTCTTGTGTAACCAGTGCTCCAATGATTTGAAACGATGGAACTTGGACGGAAACAGATCTGGCGAATGCGGCGGATGATCTAATTGCTCGCAGCCCAATGCGGTTATCAAGTGTTCCTGAGCTAATAAGATATTTTGTTATGGTAATCATATCATGTTTTAAGCCTTTTGCGTGGCCTGGTAGGGCACTTATATAGTACTGGACGGGCCCTTTTCGCAGTTGCAGGTTTCATCAGTAGCACAGTGCCTTTTCGGTTCAGCCGATCCCTTGCGAATACACCCCTACTTACGTACGAATCGACGCCGAATAACAAATCACACCGAATCAGGTGATAAATCCCCCGACATTGCAGTGACCAACAGTCGAACTTGTTGCTGGTAAAATGAATCAAGCATATCATTCTGTCGTGATATCTGTTATGGCACTTATGTAGAACAAGACGCTCATGCAATGCTGATGACAAAACAAGACGCTCATGCAATGCCACTCTGCAGTACGGTCTGCTAGCGGCACGCGGTGGGGCCTAGCGTCGTGGGCCTGCCGTACCTAAAGTGTTAATGAACACCCGCAAGCTATCGACTGTAAAACGACTTTGGCAACATTTCATGTTGTCTGGTCTTAATATTTTTTAGTTTTTCCCATCTCTCATATGGGGGGCGTGGCTCTGAAGATGGCAGTGCCTCCGAAACGTACATTCGTTGTTGTTCGAGTCGCATCTTCTTTGAAGGATCAATGCTCGAGTAAGAACCACACCCAGCAGTGCTACTTTTATACTGGATAATGGTTGTTAATGAAAGTGATTTTCGAATAATATCCATCTTTCATCGCTCAACATATCCTGCATATTGACGTGCATGGAGCGTTATAATGGCTTGGAGCACCGTTAGCGAGATACCCGTTTTGTTTTGGTGGTTTAAAGTAATATTGGGTGAGATTTAGGCTGTTAAAATTGTGCTCCTTCGAAGAAGATTAGACATAAATAAAAACGAAGACGAAGACTATAGCGAGGACGAGCGATTGTAGAGCATCGCCTCGCATCAATCGCTCTGAAGAAATGATTCGAGTCGAAACGTTAACTAAATAGATTCATTTTTTAACACCTTCATGAAACCGGCTCAATCAGCAAAGAAGATTCTGTATGCTCATCCCCACCCTGCTTACTTGCTTGTATGAGTTGCACTCGGGCCTTTCTATTATAAAAATTTGGTCTTAAGATGAGACTAAGATCTGTGGTGCACTTACGGTCACGGTTTTCCGAGGTACGATAATGTTAAGTGTTAAGCAAAGTTTTGAAAGCCAGGCAGGAGTTGAACCCGCTCTTCATGCTACTCAAGGCGCTTATCAAGTACTGTACCACTGGAGCTCCAGTTCTATTATCACACTTTCTGCGTTCCAAGGAATCGATTCTGCAATAACCAAGAGTCAACTATTTTGTTGAGTAAGCACTAGCGGCAGTGAAATCCAGTTATGTTGACGGCTATAGGATATAGGTAATCGAATGATAGCAGAATATGAGCTGCGATAGTGTAATGGTTAGCAAGAGCTCCCGTAAAGGGTGAAACGCGGGCACAACTCCATTCGAGGCTCAAAGTTTTCGGGGCTTCTCTGAAGAGGATTGGCTAAGACGAAAGCCACCGTGCAACTGACGAGGCTGTCAAGACCGGAACACGTGTATTGTAAGCGCCCATAACAGACCACATGCATAGCTCGAAAAATAATTATCAGACGTGATAAAATATCACTTCCAAGCTAAAAACGTTAAGGTATTGAATTCTTTTCTTTTCGACTGCTTTTGAGACCTCGCTTAGAGCAGTATAATATGATAACATATTTTGAGCTTTTCTTGAGGTCTGTCATGACACTTAACCAGGGCAACAAGACACGTGTTTCGGCACTGTGGTCTCTTCAGTTGCAGGGTACCTCTTGAATCAGCTATTTCTTTGCAAGTACATATCACCTACATAGAGTATCCGAAACCGAAATATTTACATATGCCGCAAGACGATAAAAGCACCCCACAGCCAGTGTTGTACAGCCGCTGGCGGTTGCTAAATCGTATATCACCACACCTTTCTTTTTGACTGTTTCTACTACCTCTCTCAAAACAATATAATCTAATAATGTATTGTGGACACCGATTTGAGACATTTGGTCAAATTTATGAGGCATGTCAGGAGTTTTTTTGATTCTGTATTATGTCGAGCAGTTTCTGAAGCATGCAGATTGTCAGCAAAAGGTAGTAGATAATGATGTATTTGTTTTGAAAAATAATTATTGTTAGTTTCATTGAGCTTTCGTGTAAACTTTGAATTTTGCTCGGGTGTTGAGGAATTTCTTACTCAACCTAATCTTTCTGGAACCGTAAAAGAACGGCCACCAAAGCTGGATTTGAATGCTTTGGAAATAAAATGGCTTTTTATGAATTTACCTCGCTCCATGAGCCTTTCTGTTGTACGCGGAGAGCAGTCGCGCAGAGTTTACATGGATGGATAATACACCTTTTTTTGCACTGAAATATCACTTTGTAATGTTGTGTGAGATTCCGCGTATTAACGGGCCATTATTCCGTGAGTTTATGGAATTTATCCAAAATGCTCCGAAAATTTTACGCTTCGAAATTATCGATTTCTGAAAGAGAATGACAAGAGCTGGTTAAAACTTCCACTATTATGTTTCTGTGCCCTATGCATTTCTGTCAGTTAGTTAATCAACTCAATGTATTCAAGTAAGTGTTTTTTCAACACGGACAGAAAGTGATCTATTCGTCGTCAGCGCTTCACAAGAGGTTAAGCAAACCTCAAAGAGTTTTAAATAGGTAAAAATTGCCCCATTTAGATCACAAACTTACTTCGAAGTGCAGAGCATGGTTACGCATGATCAAAGGGCTCTTTTTGCTGTTTTTATTTTGAAGTTCTGGAATACTTACAAAATGCTTTGGAAATTTCGCGCGCTAAGAGATTTCTGTGCGAGAATACTGAATTTTATTTCAGGATCTTCATCGTTGTGTCTTCATTTCTTGGACATAACTGATGCAGAGTTGTGCTTGGCTTTGAGCTTAGCAAATAGATGTTTTACTTACAATATGCCTGATCAATCATTTTTTGAGCCACGCATGTCAGTGGTCTGTGAAGGAGGGCTGACTTTATGAGCCCGACACACGTGTTTCGATCTTGCGATCTCGTCAGTCGGGCAGTTACCGTTTCTCTTCTTTTGCTAATCTCTGTGGGTGCTCCAGTCCACACACTAAGATTTAGCGACGACGAACGTTTTGCACTCATGTTCAGTGAAAATCTCACCGAACATAGAGTGTTGTACAATCGATTGCTCTTGGCTGGTATATTCAAAATATCATATCTTTCGACTCGATATATCTTTCGATTTCGAGACCACTGACATGCGTGGCTCAAAAAATGACCATCAGGCATATTGAAATTTGAGCTGTGATCTTAAGAAAATACTCGAATCGAAAATGTTCTATATTACACGGACCACTGACCATTTAGTTATTTCGACACATATGGTCGCCTTATCAAGAAAATGGTTTATGCTGCCATTTAGTATAAGACCATCACGCATCATTCAAGGGACATCTGGGAAAAGTCAAGCCATTCGGCGAGGTTGTGGATCTGTACAAAAGGACTCTGCTGCGTGACTTTGTTGAGCTCTGATCAATGCATATTTTTCTCTAGCACTTCTCAAAGATTTTAGTAGCTTTTTGGTTGCTACCAAATGACCTCATCATCCAGTGGTGATAGGAAAATCCTTGCAGTGATTGATAAATACTGAAAATGTGGTTTCAGTTACACGCACACTGCCTTCAGACGCACTGTTTATTTAATGCAGCATATCCAACTATTCATATGTTTTGTGATAAGTGCCTTTTTCGCTCGTTCTGCAAAGCAACATTTTTGCACTAAAGGTAGTGGCTAAGATCGATGCATCACCATTTGCTGCAGTTCAGTGATGAAATGATCACCTGGATACTACATAGATAGCGTAACTACTGACTAGCTGATTGATCGATGCTGTGTGTCTGTCTGACTCGCAAAAATGAATTTGTGTCGTGATGGCGACTGTTTGTGAAATCTGGAAACAGAAACTAGAATTACTGTCTTCAGTATTTATCAATTATTGCAAAGATCTTTCTACCCTCAGTGGACATAAAGTCGCTCAGTGACTACCAGAAGGGCTAATGGCATGATGTCAGAATCCTATTAAAACTTCGCTACGCTCACAACATTCCCTTTTCGAGAAATGCCAACGAAGTACAGGCATTGATCAATGCTTAGCAGAGCTTCAGAGAGCTCGAACAACACATGACTCAAAATAAGGTCTTTAATAAGGAATCCATGGTGCGATGGTGTATAGATTTAATTGAATGGTTCTATGTTCAAAAAAACGATTTCATACTATTGCTTTGTGAGCTCTGTAAACGTGGGAAAGCATTATGAAGGATGAGTTCAAGAGAAAAAAAGCAGAAGGAGCTGCATTTTTGTCATTCAAAAAGAAAACCACTCAGTTAGCAGTTCAAAATTTCACAGTATCTTTGCTGAGTCAGTGGTCCTCTACGCTTTGTTATGTTGCAGAGACGTAAACTCATACTTCAGTC